ACAGAGAAGGCCCTCCCCCGGGGGGGGGGGGTCGCCAGCTGGCATTGACCGGCCGATGGCACCCGGAGGAGGCCCAATCTGTGTGATCTAATCGGTCGTGAGGAGGTAATTGGCAGGTTGGTAAAATGTGGACCCTGATAGTTGGGGGGCAATATGCTCCACTCTGTAAACTGCTTAGGAGGGCTATAAAGCTCTGTGGAGTGGCATGTAAGCTAAGGGAAGGCCCGGGGGAGGGCCTTCTCTGTTGCTACCCCGGCCCTATGGAATGATCTCCCCGTGGAGATCTGGACCCTCACTACTCTTCCGGCCTTCCATAAAGCTACTAAGACTTGGCTGTTCCGGCAGGCCTGGGGCTGTTGATCAGCATCCAGCCCCATTTTAAGTGGTATGTATGTTGTGTAATTTTAAATAACTGTATTTCTATTTTTTGATTTTTATATTCCCTTGTTGTCTGTAAGCCGCCCAGAGTCTCCCCGGGAGTGGGCAGCATACAAATGCTAATAAACTTCCAAACTTCCAAACTATCCCAAGTGTTACATTAGTTGGAAGGCAGAAGAACATTCCAAAATGTTTTGCAAAGGACATTTTGTAAAAGCTGCAAGGTTGTTACACAAGTCCTCTTCTTCATTCTGATAAAGTTTATTCCTCCACTCGTAGTGCCTTCCTGATGTGCAGTGCCAGCAACACTGAAGACGATTGACACTCTAATTCCACATATATTCGAAACCCTGAATTATAGACGGTTAGAACCGGCAGTGTTTCCCTGTAGGGGTAGCAGGAAAGGCAACCTGTGACTGAAACCTACTTGGTAGATCAGTTTGCAGAAACAATCTCCTCTGTTCACTGGTGATTAACTAGCCCTTAAAATAGAACTATGGGGAATTCAGCTGGTCCTGTATGGATGTGGGGCTTTGCTGCATGTCTATATTCTTATTAAAGAATTTCTTTCTCTTCCAGCTTTATTCAGTGTCTCAGATAAAACCGGCCTGGTGGAATTTGCAAAATGTTTGACTTCTTCGGGTTTGGCTTTGGTTGCCTCAGGAGGGACAGCAAAAGTTCTTCGGGATGCAGCTTTGAATGTCAGGTAAAGTAAAAGACGGGACTTGGTTGGCTCTCACGGTGTCCTCTTTAGGCTCGGCCTGGCAACTGGAGAGACAAGGCCTCCTCTGCTCCTTCCATCACATCACATCAGTTCTGGCATCAGTTCTGGGAAATGTTATTGTATAACTCAGAATTCTGCTGTGTTAAAATTTGCAAGGTGTTCTGATAAAATTACTCATTGCTAATTGTTTAATGTTCATCCAGGGGAATATTTACTTTGAAAGGTAATGAAGTCCTAGTAGTGGCAGGTTCCCAGCTGTCCAAGGCTTGGACGAAGCAGATTTTCCAGACCCTTTTCAGTCGGGCCAGGCTACATAATACTGAGACAACCATAATGCTGGTCATTGGAGGGCTCAGGAGGAGGATGTCTAGCCCTCTCTGACTCTCCTAGATCTCTTAGTGGCTTTTGACACTATTGCTTGGTATTTTGCTGGACCATCTCCAGGGATTGNACACACACACACACACATCTATGTATACCTATGCTGGTCTTCTTGTATTCGGGTCTTTTCCCACGTCAGAGGGTGAGAGATATACATATCTATATATATCTATAATTGCGCTGCCCCTTAACTAGAAGGCAGCGGGTCCGATTCAGGGAAGTTCCCCGCTCTTCCCTGCAGCGCTTCATCAAAGGCTCCGCGCACTCCCGGCATGCAACCGTAACTCCACCCGCTTCCTCCGACCACCACCTCCCCGTTTATAGCCACCCGCCACGGGCAGGCGTTCCCTTCTGGACGCGGCTTTCCTCCGGGGCTCTTTCCTCGCCAAGGCTCTGCAAAGATGGCTTCGAGGCAGCAGAAGCAGCAGCCGCAGCAACTGGGTGAGTCCCGATCGCCGCGCCCGCCGCCTGGAGCCCGCCGGTTCCCCGCACGGCAAAGTTTCGCTCTTCTACTTTCTCAGCCGCGAAGGCGCCCCTCGCTTAAAGGAGAGGAAGGGAGCCCCGAGTGGCTTGGGGGGTTTCCTGGGGGGCTCCGCCCGCTCTGGTGATATGAGCCTCCGGGGGGGGGGGAGGGCGGCTCCTCAGCTGCTGGGCTGAAGTTCTGCCCGATCTTAACTCGTGTTCTTCCGAAACCAGCCTCGTGACCCGCATTTTCCCCGCAGGACTGAAATTGAAGGGAAACTCTTACCCCAAAACTACGAAGCTGGAAAACAGAACCTGCGGGGACTGTTAGGTGGCTGCGGGTTAAAACTCAGTGTGGATCAGAGTCCATCGGTGCCCTGAGAGGCGAAAAGTTTTAACCCCCCCCCTCCCGTCCAAGTTGCAGCTGGAGGCCCACGGAAATCAGCGGGAGGGAGGGGAATTTCATTCTTGGGTGGAATCCCTTCCAACTGTTGGCAGAGGGTTCACTTTTCCTGCAGCCTCTTCGGCTCCCGGTGAATGCAATCCGCAACTTTTCTCCCTGCTTTGCTGGTTCCCTTTGTGCGTATTTTTTCAAGAACCGCTTGCAAATACGCAGGAAGAGTTGACGGTGTAAAACGTCAAGTGCGACTATTTGATTCTCAGGATTGTGGTGCAAATCCGCAAACTCTGAATGAAACAGAACCCTTCAAATCCTATTGAAGGATAAAAAACCATATTTTTTAAAAACAGAGGAACTCTTATCCCATTGAAAGGCATCTAGAATGACTGCTTAGAATGGATGAAAGTGAGAAATAAAGGAAACAATGTTGGTTTGATTGGAAAGGTCTTCATCCTGAAGTGGAATTGATTCAGGGTAGTAGAAGTATGAATATACTGATTTATTTTCATAGACACACTTTAAATCAAGGAAAAAAGATGGAAAGAGTTGGCCTTTATCCTAAGAGAATAATCTTGAAAGCCCCAGGTTGCACTTAAATTTACATTTTTCATCCTGACTGTTTCATTCACAGTACACTACATTCACTCTCTGTATTTGTGGCCAATACATTTTTCTCTTGTGAAATTCCTGGGAAACATATATGAAATAATTTGAGTAGGAATAAATTAACAAAAGGAACAGCTATAGCAGCTGCCCCATTATTATTCTCAGTTATCCTGGCTGTTCCGGCAGGCCTGGGGCTGTTGATCAGCATCCAGCCCCATTTTAAGTGGTATGTATGTTGTGTAATTTTAAATAACTGTATTTCTA